TGAGATTATGTTAAATATAATATTTAATTTAACTGAACAATAATTAGATACTTAAAAACGATGATTTATTGACCTATTTCATTACAACAATTGATTTTACAGAACACCTAAAAGCAACGTCCTGAAAAGATCATTTTAAGACTAAAGTTTATAAAGACCAAACCAAAAAGCGTCCTAAAAAACCTGTTAAAAACGCCTAAAAATGTCCTATAAACCTATTGTAACGCTTTTAGATAGGACATTTTATAGTTTGATCCTATAAACCTAGGTTCTATAAACTATTATATTATGACGCTTAGACAATATATGTGTCCTACAAAGCCAATTTTGTTATAATGTTTCCTACCTATACGTGATTTCAGAGATAATTTTTGTACTTAGAAAAATGCTATGAGAGATTCGCATCGAGACATAGTTATAGTAAAATTTACATCATCGTCTATATCATCAAATTGATGAATGTAAACATGCCGTTCATTTTCAACGATCATTTTATGCATGATTATATATGTTCTCATTATTTCTCCAGTTATCTTCTTGAACTACATACTTGTTGGCCCACAAATAATACTGAACCGTGGTTTGAGTACCCAAAAACTCAATACTGAGAAAGAAAAAAATACAGACGCTATGAGAATTCCATACACCATTTGTGGAAACAGAAAAACAAAAGAATAAATGAGAAAATCAAAAACTGTTCATGAAATTGATGGAAATGGATCCAATAACAATGACCGAATCACAAAACCCGTGCTCAAAAATATATTTTTTTCTGGGCACAGGTTTTGGCGGTAAAAGAATAAAATTGACTCAAGCAGGGTTTTCTGTAACGTGTAGAGCACGTTATAAAGAATTAATAGGACAGTTGGATATTCGAGAGAGAAAAACTCGTTAATTTGAAGAATTGGCCAATTTTCTCATCCCCACAATTAAGAATGTTCCATAAAACAGTTAAGAATGTTCCATAAAAGGCATCTATGTAACCTCAATTATAGGGGTGCTCATGGGTTGGGTTGATCGGGTTGAGGACATTTGACAACCCAACCCAATGCTTGCGGTTTGGAAAAATCTTAACCCAACCCAACCCAAACCAAAGTGCAACCCAACCCAACCCAACCCGTACGGGTTGGTCGGGTTAGTCGGGTTGGTCGGGTTGATACTTTGGTATATTAAAATATTCTTCTAACCTTGAATATGTTATTTCTCTACTTATAATTTCTTTTTTATCATCAACCATTTGATACAACTTATTCATATTTCTTACGTATATCACATTHAGTTAATTTTCTCAATTTACATATATATGTTCACAGTTACTGAATGAGTTATATAGAGATATGAATAGATTGAAAATATGTGTATATGAAAAGCATACATGATAATGTAATTGTCTAATGTATATATTAATAGAAATTGAACAATCATATTAAATCCAATAAATAAAATGATATCGGGTTCATCGGGTTGGGTTGGGTTCAAATAATAGTAACCCATTATCAACCCAATACCTACGGTTTGACAATTTTACAACTCGATTAGACATCGGGTTGCTTCGGGTTAGGTTATTTTGCGTTGGGTTGGGTTGGGTTGATCGGGTTGGTCGGGTTAGTCGGGTTTTTGAGCACCCCTACTCAATTATATGACCAATCATATATACCATTTTTTATTTTATCAGAAAAATTCTCTTAGGACCTATTTTAACAAATGAATTAATTAAGTCACATTCTGAAAAGATGAATAAACAGGTTTATATAAAAAAAATGCTATAAATATTCCGAAAGAGGCTATAATGACTGAAAAAACTACATCTTTACAAAATTCGTACCTTCTATTGAATTGTTTAATTTTTTATGTAAAGATAATGAATCATGTGCAATGCTTTATGAAACAAGGTGCATGTGCTTAGAGCGTGAATGAATTCTTATCGTAATCGTTAAGAATTAGATTCTTCCGTCATTGGAAGTATTAAAACGAAAGAATAAATGAGAAAAAATGGAAAAACGTTCATGAAATTGATGGAAATGGATGACATTACAGTGACTGAACCATTAAGATAATAAATCATGTGCAAGGCTTTATGAAACAAGATGCATATACTTAGAGTGTGAAGGAATTCTCGTCATAATTGTTAATCGTTAGATTCTTTTGTCGTTGAAAGTATTCTCATTTTTTTTATTAACCTGGATATCCAACCCGCTATGTGAGCTGACTAATCCCAGGACGACCATCTGCTTTGCAGATAACCCGGAGTCACCGCATTTGAACATCCGTAGTCACAAGGGGAGTTTTATTCCTCCTTGTATTTGAACTTGGGACCTCCAGGTACTTTTGACCTTTGAAGCCAAGCTCTAACCAATCAGGCACCACCCTTGTGGTTAAATATTCTTATTTTATATGCAATGACAACTAGTTGGATCATGGAGGATCAATAATTAGAGATAGTCTTTTGAAGACGACGATGAATCATACGTCCCCGTTCACTTAGCATGACAAAAAAGTGTATGCAACATACATTAACTTGACGTATTTTCGTCCTGATACGAAGATACAAGACGTATCATTGATATGCTTCCTTATAGAGTTGGGTATGCGGGAATTCCATAGGGTTTAATTTGAGCATTCACGTACCAAACACATTGTAGGATGTGTTTTTTTAATATATATATATATATATATATAATACTTATATACGGCGAAATAAACTCACACACACTTTTTTATTTTTTACTATACTTGAACCCTTGACCTTAAAAAATGTTGAGTTACAAGGTACCCTTAGGTCAAAATTATTCATATTTCTGTTCGATGAAGCTTTTTAATCAGACCAGTTATCGCTGAGAAAAGGTGTTTTGTTCCGTCATCAAATAAAATAAATAGTTAAAACCTTGGGGGATTTGGTTCGCATAATGTTTTTAGATGTAATGGAATGTATCAAAGTAATTTGACTTTTAAGGAATTGCAATGAAATCTTATCAGGTTTGACCACATGTTTGGTGACAGACATTGGAATGGAATATGTTAAAGGAATTAGAATATGTCTGTTTGATTTACATAATGTAGCTTTAGAATCGGAAGTATTCGTAAATGACCAAAATACCCTTTCTTGAAAATTTTGAAACCGAAATCCAACTATTGTGTTTCAGATCGGTGGAGGTCAGCGGTGATTAGGATCAGTGGTAATCCACGGTGGTTCAGATCGGCGATGGTCGGCAGTGGTTCAGATTAGTGGTGGTCGGTCGTGGTTGATGGTGGTTCAGATCAATTGTGGTCAACGGTGATGGTTGGTGGTGATCCAGATCGATAGTGGTTGGCAGTTGTTCAAATCGGCGATGATTTAGATCGGCGGCAGCGGCGGCGGCGGTGGTGGCAGTGGTGGTGGTGGTGAATATGCAGTTATAAATAATCCAGCCAAAGTAATAGGACAATTTTATTTTATTCCTCCGAATAGAACATGGCCATATGAGTTCGGATACCGTCAAGGGCAAAAATGTAAATATTGTAAATTAATGAGCCAAAAACAAACATCATTTATCATCTTCTCCTACTTAATCCCTCCCACTTGATCAACAACCCCATTGAAACCCGATCACCGCTCCAAACCTTTTTTCTCTCTTCGACGAACCCTTCACCTCTCTTTATTTAGCCGAGCTCGAGCTCTCACTGCAAACCATGCCACTATAAAAGTCCCCTCAAACAAACCTAAAAAACACAAACCAGAAGCAAATATGTGCCCCGAGCTCCTCCAAACCCTTATCTATGTGTATAGCATCGAACAGTTGTAGATTTTTTATTTGGGGTTTGTAATTAGGGATCAGACGGTTCCCACAAGATATATGAGCTATGTATTAATATTATAATTATATTAAATAAATTAAAAGTAAAGAAATTTTGTAAAATAAATAAAATAGTGAAATTGACCATGTTATCCGGGTACTTATGGGAGCCCAACGTAAAAATCCATGAAAAAATGTGTACTGTTATAGGATAAATATGTCATCATCTAAAAGATATGACGATCTAGATAAATATAAATATATTAGAGATAGATTATAACTAATATTTATCGTGACTATGTACTTGTATCACATCACTGTTTAAAGAGCTTTTAAATAATGAAAATAACATATTCATTCTCTCCGTTCTATTGTTGTTTTCTGTTAATTATTTTATAACATGTTATCAGCACCTAAACTTAAATTATAAAAACAAAAATAACAATAAATTACAAAATACAAGAACAAAAATCACCTTTTTTTAACAAACCAAAAGACAGAAGATATCAATACTATATTATAAAGCATTTGATAAAAACTCTTAAAAACTTTTTTATGCATAAAATACTGTTTATTGATGTATATTACTTAAAATTCAAAATTACAAATAAATTGTGTATAAGTACAACTTATTAAAGCTCTATGTTTGAATTCATGTAACTAACTGTGGATAAACATAATAAAATATCAAATAGAGAATAAACATCTCATTTTAAAATATAAAAAATCTAAAATATTTTTAGGATAATTATTGAGTTCAAACAGAATACTTAATTATTATCTTTATAAAAAAATATTATTAAACCTAAATTAAGTTACTTCGTTACATTAAATTATATTATAATAAAAATTTTGAATTAAAAAAAACAAACAAGAAATTTAATTAGTTAATTTGATACTATTATTGATATATTTTTTGCAAATTTTATATGATATTTTTAAATTTGTAATTTATTCAAAAATAAAAACATTATCGTTTTTTAAAACAACATAAAATCATATTATATCGATATAGATAAAAAAATAAAATGAAACATTAAAATAAAAATATATATCGATATATTGCACGGGTATAATTCTAGTTTACTTTAATAATAATAATAATAATAATAATAATAATAATAATATATTTTAATTTGGAAATTTGCAACGTCAAACCGCAACCACATCATTTCATATCCTACCACAAAAATAATCAGTGGAAGAAACAGAAACAGAAACCGCCGTCTGGGTCAAAATGGTCACTTGGAGCTGGACCTCCGCCGTGGTCGGAGCAGCGACGGCGGCCGCCACCGCGGCGCTGTTGTCGGCGAAGCCCAAAGACCCAACGTTCCACCTGGTCTCAATCAACATCACTTCCTTCAAACTCAGCATCCCTTTAATCGACGCCGAGGTCGTCCTCACCGTCCACGTCACCAACCCTAACGCCGTCCCCATCCACTATTCCTCCACCGAGATGTCCATTTTTTACGCCGGAACTTTGCTCGGCACCGCCCAGGTCTCCGCCGGATCTCAGCCCCCACGGTCATGCCAGCTCCTCCACCTTCCGGCACGGCTGAGCAGCAAGGAGTTAGCTCTTCACGCGATGCAGGTGGTGGCGGACGTCGGGAAACGGGAGATGGTGTTGGATGCGACGGTGGATATCGAAGGAGTGGCGAGGGTGGGGTGGTGGGGACATAGGTTTAAGGTGCACGTAGATAGTCACGTGATAGTTGATCCTGTGTTTCTTGATGTCATTGAGCAGGAAAATAAGTCGGATTTGGACTTGTTTGTTACTTAATAAAATCATTAATTTGTTGTGGTTTTTTATATTTTATCAGTTATTTTTTTTTCGATTCAATTTTTTAAAAAGATAACAAGAAATGAAAATTATAATATATATATATATATATATAACATCTTATAAACCAAATTTATCAAAAGGCTTAAAAATAATTTTTAATATACAAAATACTATACATTTATGCACAAAGTCTTAAAAACAACTCATAATGCATTAAGTACTACTACTTTATGCATTCAATTTTAAATTATCTTAATATACAATTAAAATTATGCATAGTACAAGTTATCAATGTACATTATTGCTTTTTCTTTTCATGTTCCCAAAATACTTTTGACATCTTTCACTTATGATTTCACCCTCTCATACCTCTATGTCTTCTCCCCATCTCCCAATATGAGATTCAAACTGATATTCACCATGAGTTATTAAAAGTTATTCCATTCATTTCCCATTCAATTGTCTTAGAACTCTCGGTTTCGCTCGCGATCTTTTGATTCTTTGCTTTTGGTGTAAATCGAAAACATTTGTGGATTCGTTTAAATATGTTGGATTTTAAACTGCCATACAATTTTTTTCATCGATAGACTGTAATTTGAACCGTAACTCTTATTTATTCAAATTGTATTAATATGTAAAGGCCAAGTGTAACTTATATCATCATTAGATTATTCTCTAATAAAACCAGTGAAACTTCAAAATCGTTAAAATTCACGGCTCTCCTCGCATTGTATGGGTACACAACTAGTATATATATATAGTATTGAAGAGAAATAGTGTAAGTCTTGACTGATATAAAACAGTATTACTATTTCTATGAATAGAATGGTTATAATTTTGGTTTACAGTACTTGCAATTTTGTTGAATAACATTTGTGATGATTGAATAGAAGTTGGTAAGCTTTTGAAGTAACACGTAGTTTTCGGAGAGGTTACTGTATAATCCACAGGTTTTTATGAGAATAGTCGTTTTATTCTTTAGGTAAAAATAAAGTCTGTATACATCTTATCCTGCTTTTTGTTAAGATATACTAAATAAGTTTGGGTTGGTTTAGTAAACATGGATGAGTCATGTCCATTAAAAACCCTTTTTGTGGATTGGTCAAAGTTGGCATGAGGAATTTGGTGTTGATGACCAAAGCATTGTCGACTAAAAAGAGATTATACAGGGGACCTTTTTTATCCTTCCGCGCTAACAATTATATATATATATATACTTGGGATTATGTGAAATTAAAGGTTTTTCGTGAGACTCGTAAGACCAATTCTCAACCCTTGGATTAGATCTACAATCTGAACATTCATAATCACAAAATTGCCACGAGACTTCTCAATAATCACAAAATTGCCACCGTACAACTTTAGACCATTAGATCATTAGCTTATAAAGTTGATCAATGAACATAAATAGGTCTTACGGGCCTCACGAAAAACCATTAGTCTCACGTGAACCCAACCCTATATATATATATATATATATATATATATATACACACACACACACACACATACACACACACCCACTTGGGATCATGTGAGACCAACTTGTTTTCATGAGACTCGTGAGACTACCTTTTTACAATTGAAACTTCAAAGCAAAACACTGTAAATATGTGAAGGTTACCTTCACAATGTTTTTGCTGTGAATGTTCGAATTTTTTTTTACTTTCACAGGATTTTGCTGTAAAGTTTCAAGTGTAAAAAGATGATCTCACAGGTCTCAAGAAAACAGGTTAATCTCACGTGAATCCAACCCTATATATGTATGTATATATTTTATGAAATTTTTGTTTTTTAATAATAAAACATGTTTTAATGACAAATATTTGTCAAAAAAGATCATATAATTAAAAGTGTTCCAAAGTGAGATTTTGAAATGGGCCCTCAAAGTTTTTGGGTCATAAAACTTCAACACAATTATTCTCTCTTTTAGACTAATCAAAGTCATCAATTTTCAACATTTAAAATATGTCTATTTAAATAAATTTCATATCTTACTTTTATCATTTTAAAATATTTTTGTTATTTTAATTTATAATATTTTTAATATAATAAATGTTATAAACTTTTATATTTTGTTTTAATAATACCATTCCATTTAATCTAGAATCTTGATACTTTTGTTATCTACAATCCTGATAATTTTAGTGAACAGGACCTTTTAAAGATGTCTACTCTAAATAAACAATATTGCAGAAGCAATTCATAAAACAAAAACGACGATCAAATGTGCGACCAAGCAACAATATATCACTTTTTTACTCGGGGACTGTTTATTAAACGCGTATCAACAAAAGTCATCACCTTCACTTATGCTTACCTTATTTTCGGTTATCAAAATGAATTGTTTGTAAGCATCTTTGTCCAGTAAGAGTCTGCTCTCTTACTTGACGGATAAGATTTTAAGTCATTGATATGCTCACCCAATAAAGTAAATGACGTCCAGTAAACGCTTATCTGGTAAGCGTTTAATAAATAATCCCTAATTATTTTATATTCGTAATACTTCCAAAAAAGTGATTGGAAAAAGAGGTCAAAAATCTTGACTAATCCCATTAGGATTACGAGTTTGCTTCTGTTTCCTTTTTTCCACATCCGGCTTCTCCTTTAATAGACAATAATTGTATATGATTTTTACCATTGTGTTATGAACAAATTAAATTAAAATTAACTAACCCAGGACCCGTTTACCTACTCGATAAACGCTAACCAGTAAAATTCAACACTGTCACTTATTTTATCAAGCAAGATTTTAGATCATCAAAACAACATTGTATATAACAATTTACTATATAACTGATAATCGGGTAAGAGTAGTTACCCTCACTTATCATCAACCATATTTTATCTTGTTTAAAACTTTGTATTAGTTTTCAAATCATTAAACATTATAAATTTAGACTTTATTTGCGCATCAATCATATTTTATTTGTTTCTACACATTCATAATTTACAAGTTTGAAAACAAAACAAATACTATTTTCCAACCAAGAAAATTTGGTATAAAGTAAACTTGATTAATACATAATACAATATAAAATTTATAAGTTGATTAATATACAGCATAAAAAACATGATATAGTAGTACCATGTTCGTTCCTAATAAATGTTGGGTTTCTTGAGTACAAAACTTTTCTTTTTTTAACAAGAGAAACCGATCAAAATAGCTAATTTCCCCAATCAAATTTATTTTTTAACCATTTTTTCAATCAAAATCTCATTTTAGCCAAAGTTTAAGTAAATGCTCTGCGCATCCGTAAACCTTATTTTCATATTTAAAAAATATATATATATATATATATATATATATATGTCTTAACACAAATTTGCGTAAAGAAACTTTTTTTATTACCTGGATATCCAACCCGCTATGCGAGCTAACTAATTACAGGACGACCACCTGCTTTGCAGATAGCCCGGAGTCACCGCATTTGAACCTCCATGGCCACAATGAGATTTTTATTTCTCCTTGGATTTGAACCTAGGACCTCCTGGTACTTTTGACCTTTGGAGCCAAGCTCAAACCAATCAGACACCACCATTGTAGTTAAGAAACTTTTTTTTTTCCTTTTGACTAAAATGGGAATTCAATACCAAAATAGCTAAGGGACCGTTTATCAAACACTTACTCGACTAAGCGATTACCAAATCACATTACCTTACTCGATGTATATAACAAGAACCAAGAATGTTACCAGGTAAGAGCAAAGGCAGGGATAAGAGTCTTACCCGGTAAATGAGGGTCGTCGTCTCTTACCACGTTTAGCGCTTACCAAATAATTTGTTGCATACAATACCGTTTTTGTAGACTAAAATCTTACCCGGTAAGTAAGTGCTAATATCAAAATTTTCCGGTAAACGTGTTGTAAACTGCCCCTAGAAAAAGAAACTTGGTCGAAAAAGATTGGGTTTTTTGGTCAATTTTCCTTTTAATAATTGTAAATCAAAATAAAAGGTTTTCATATTTATTATAAAAAAAAAAAAAAAAAACTTATCTTACTCAAATGATAACAAATATCTCCACCATATAAATTTGTGACCACCAATATTTTAACCAAATCTCCATCTCCTCCAAAACCTCAAAACCCTACACCTACTCCCCTATTTAATTGCATCACCCTCCCCTTCCCAACATTGACTTTTATGAATTGGTCTTCTTCTCTCTCTACTTTCTCTCTCTAAACCATTCTCTCTCCCTCAAACAAATCTCTTGTGTTTTTGTATTAGTTTTGTAATTCATATAATAATAATATAACCATCATCTTTTAGGGGGAAAAAAGCCAACAAAAACCAGACAAAACAATGGCTGCTTGTGGAAGCCTTCAACACATCTTTGATAATAAGCCATTAGACCCCCCACCACCTCTTCTTCATCCCCTCTCTTCATGTAAACACATCAATTCTCTCGAAGCCCCGCCCACCGACATGTTTTCGGGATTCAATCTCGGAAAGAAACCCGACTCCGTTCCGTCCTCACCGGATCATCATCACCGCAGCATCAGCCTTTCGTCAGCAAATTCAGAAAGCTTATCGGAAGCTCTCGGTTTCGAGAGCTTCGACGATATAGAAGAGCTCCCTGATGATGAATGGGAACAACAACAACAACAACAACAACAACAACAACAACAAAGTTTTGGAACGACAACGAAACATGCGAAATCGGAGGTCTTGGGGGAGACGAAGAGGTCGAGGATTAGCGGGAAGGAAATCCCACCACCGATTTCGTCCATCGGGAGGAGGGTGTGCTTTGAATCTTATCGATATAATGGCAGACTCATTCTTAAGGAGGTAAAGATCCCAGCACAAGAACTCCTGCATGCATACAGAGAAGACGGACGACTGAAACTGCAATTTATTCAGTTTGATGATGAACGAGAGGTCAAGAGGGAAAACCGAGAAAAATTCGGTAACGACAATGACGGGAAAAATGTGATTAGAGAAGACTCACCATAAGCAGCAGCAGCAGCAGCAGGCTTAATCATATGCCAATTTGTAAAGTTCTAAATCTTTTCTTGAAAAATAACTAGAGTGATATAGGAAGTGAATTTTATACCTTATTGTTTTAGATAGTAATTTCATTCTCTAAGATAACTAGTGCTCTTATGAGCTGAATGATACTTACAACCTGTATATATATACACACACATACATACATACATACATACATACAATATGCATATACATATATATATATATATACATATATGCATACATGTTCATCTTCAAACCAAATTTCCTTCTTTCCTAAGCATTTTGTTCACAAGTCCAGATGTAATAAAAGTTCCATAGCTTCTCTCTCTGTAACTTAAAAAATCTAGGTAGATACTTCCAGTACAATCTTCTATCCTTTTTAAGAATGCTTCCCAACCCTTGGATCTTTCTTTTTTTATAATAAAAGTAACATTTCTATTCATGTATTCTTTACTTTACACATTTTTTCTTATTAACCTGGATATCCAACCCACTATGTGAGCCGACTGATCTCAGGGCGACCACCTGCTTTACAGATAGCTCGGAGTCACCGCATTTGAACCTCCGTGGCCACAAGGGGATTTTTATTCCTCCTTGGATTTGAACTTGGGACCTCCTGGTACTTTTGACCTTTGGAGCCAAGCTCAAACCAATCAGGCACCACCCTTGTAGTTTACTTTACACATTTTGGGATCAAGGGTAAGTAGTTGTTTCACTTGTGTATGATATTGTATCATCTATTCGTTTAAAAAGAGCTTTATAACTAACTACTCTAGGCTCAAAGGCATACTTGTGAGGTTCCTAACCTAACCTACTTTCTAAGAGATTTCAGATATAATATATATAAGGTTGGGTTCCCATGAGAAATGTCATTTTTGTGAGAACTATGAGAAATATAACCTTCACATATACCCTTATATTGTTGTGAAGGTGACAAGACCTGAATGTGTACCTTCACCGGTTTATATATATAGGGGACCTTCTTTTGAGAACTTTAATTCGTGAGATTTATGAGAAACGGTGCATCATGTGCTATTTCATATGATTTTTTTTCATCTATGGTTGGATTATAGTGTAATCATTAACATATATTTGTTCCACAATGTGTTTCTTTCACATGTACTCGGTTCACAGTGTGAACCTTTTTGGCGTGTTTGTGAAACAAAACGTACACGTTAAAAAGTTTCATATTGTGAACCGAATACATATGAAACAAGCACACTGTGAAACAAAAATATGTTAATCAATACATTAAATACTATACTTAGATGGAAATAAATCATGTCAAACAAAACTGTAAAGTATAAGTTCTCACAGATCTCACAAATTTTGGAGTTCTCAAATGATTAAACCTCTATATACATACACCTTTAAATTCAAATATAAAGCTATAACATGAAAAAATAGATATAATGAAATATGAGGTCAATAAATCCGTAGATGCCTGTAAGGTTTTCGCCAAATGACAAGTACAAGTAAACATGAACAAGGTACAACTCAAGAATCTATCTAAACAAGGACTAGCATCAAATCCCTAGGTTTTCTGTGATCATAAAGAACCATACCAGAAGCAATGATCGTTACATATGATCTTGAAAGCAACGTGTTTAAGTTTTTATACCACATGTTATGTTATGAGGAAAGGCTTGGGGACCAACTTTAGGATCTTTATGATGTTTTCTCCACGTATCTTTAGGTGCATGCGTTTAGGGAGATTCCAAAACAAGCAAATCACTACAAGACCCGTGAAAACATTTCTCTAAATTACAAATATCATGCAGACAGACTGAAAAGAACCAGCTACAGGAATGATTACGGTAAAAAATCCTAGTTCCTAGCAACATGTTGAAACCAATTACCAAGGACAATTAACAAAAAAAAAAATCTTTTGGTAACCCAAGGTGTCGGGGAGAGTTTGCACGCACCCTAATCCCATGGGACCCTGGAGATATCAGATAACTATAAAAATCCCCAGTGGTCCAGAGGAGACTCGAATTGGTGACCTATAGGGAGGAGCCCCAAAGCATGGTCTTTATTTGTCAGTTGAGCTGGCGACCTATGCGGAGGAACAGTAGTCAAATGGAAGTCAAAGTGCAATCACCTAAACAAGTCAAGAAAAGAGTTGCCCATATCTTCAGATATTTCTTAAATCACGAGAAGTGATGGCATAGATCTTATGTTGAGTTATCTGGTGCAACAACTTCATCAAAAAGTCATGGTATGTAATAAATTAGCCAGCAGTAGATGAGCATGTGTAGCAATTTAAGGCATTCAGCCTGTGATGTGAGACCCACATGAAGATATAGACATATACCTAGACGCCCAGGTGGGCAGGCATGGTCACTGGAGAAAGCAGGGTGTGTGTTATGAGGGGTATCATAGACAATAAAATAAAGGATGATACCAACCAAAAAGGTGAAACTTTTGCTGTCCGTCTACTAGTTCGAACTCAGGAGCTCAATTTAAGACGAGCAAGCTCCAACAACTTGAGCAAGCCCAGTTGGGCACCCGTAGAATGTTGGAGACTGGACCATCAAACTTGTGAGAGAACCGCGTCCGCATCAGTTGAAGTGAAGGTCTGCTTGCACAGAGATGGTGATTCGATCTTATATGTTGGAACCTCCTCCCTCTCTATAAGGGCACTTTTGGAGAGTAATCTGATCGGATTCTGCATATCTCACATAGGGGCTGTTTGGTTGGTTTTTCATTAAGTCCTGTATGGATAAAGCTGTTTGTGTGGATTAATCTGTCTATAATTGATTGGGAAGGTTTTTGTTTGGGAGGGTTTTTCCATTGACGGAAGGAGTGCATTTTTTAATTAGGAGGGGCATATTTGACTAAAAACTTGGCTTTCTACATAAAGCTCCCCCCTAAAAGCTTACTTAATAAGCCACTTTCTATATCATTAAGACACTACCAAACAGTCATGTATAGCTGACTGAATAAGCTGTGAGTTCCTTTAAGCTCATTAAGCGGCTAACAAACAGGCCCATAAAATGATATAGAGAATTGTAAAAGATACAAGTAGCCATATTAATCATATTTGACCACTCTGCAATAGAAACTCCCTAGTGCACACGTCACATGGTTGTGACACTGAAAAATATGTGGAACACAGCCTAAGGACCACTTTTTATACTTGGTTTAATTGAGAGGAAAATAAAATGGTCCACTTATCGAATGTCGATGGATCTTGGTGGTGCCTCAAACGGGACAGGACTCGATTGGACGGGCAAGAGTGCGGTAGAGGGTGAAAGAATTGTGGAAGGCATTAAGGTTTAATTTGACATGGGTAATTTAGTAATTCACCAATCTTGTCCGGTTGTCCCATCAACCATATTTTTGTTCCACCTATTTTAGCGGGACAAAAGAAATGCATTTTTATCCCATTCAGGTCATGTCCCATCTAATGTCACACCAAGCGTGTGGGACAAGAAGTTTTTGTACCGTCCCGTCCCATGCACCAAAGGCACCCTTACTGCCATGAACTTGTGAGGTTAGCTCAACTAGCAATAAGTCCTGGGCTTTTGGGGATTCTCCTCAGAGGTCAATGGTTCGAGTCCTGTAGGGCCACTGGGGATTTTCGCGGTTGTTCTCCAGGGACCAGGGCCCCTGGGATTAGTCGAGGTGCGCAAAAGCTGGCCCGGACACCCAAGGTTAACAAAAAAAACATAGTGTGTGTAGCATGTGCCGTGTTTCTTTGACCAAATAACCATGTTCAGACCCACCATCTAAGATGATGCTATTTATCATATTTAAAGCTCAAATATTTGGAGTATCATTATGACATGAGTTCATGTTCATGATTTCCTAGCAAGGTTAATCAGAACATGATGGCATTGTTATATAAATTCATTAAATAGATCAACTGAACTGGGAACCAACTAATCACGATGAAGGGTTGTGGCCATCTAAAGTCAAAAGCACCTTGTATAAGTCTGGGCGTCGATCACGAAATATTCCCCAGCTATGTCTCTTGGATTTAATTTTATCCAGATCAAACTCCGCTATGAGCACTGCTTCCTCTTTATCGTTAGCAACTGCAATAATTTCTCCGCTAGGTCCTGTTTTCACGGAATATTCAGTATTTAGTCATCAGGGTGGAAGGGTAACCATACAATCACCGTTGGAGGCTCAACAAACAAAAATAATTACCTGATATAAAGGAGTTGCCGTAGAATGTGATTGAACTATTACCATGTTCTGTCTGGATGACCTCCTTACCTATGCGATTTGATGCTACAAGAGGTACCTGAAACAATAAACATCAGACTTTTGAACCATATGCTAAAAGGAGAAAAATGTTGTAGCTCCACTTAGCATGCATGATCGACATATGCTATTAAGGGTGCATTTTGTAAGCATCTATGCGGACGAGACTGAACAAGACTGGACAGGCAAGAGTGAGGTAGGCGGGTGAAAGAATTCTGGAAGGTTTTAATTTGACATGGGTATTTAGTAATTTATCAATCTTGTAACATCTCCCTAATTTTTGTTCCACCTATTTATGAATGTTTAATCAGTAGGTAGCACTGTGCTGGACAATAAATGAGATCAACGAAATTGTAATATAAAATCAACTGGATGATTTAATGGGTATTGCGACCACGAATAGTCTTTAAACTGTCGAGTATTAACTCACTTCAAATAACTTAGCTTTTAATTGAAATTGACCCTACAACCACTACTGTGTAACAAATCAACAATGCTATAAGACCTGTTTTTCACCACAGCACCACAAGAAATTTCTTCAAGTAATGAAGAAAAGTTTATTTTGTTATGTCTATAAAGTAAACTTGGCCCATTTGTTAAAACTTTTACAAGGGAAAATTGACTAGCTTATTGATACTGTGAAGAGCTAGTTCATAGGATCAACATTTTTCAGATGTAGGCAGAAAAAACAGTGTTGCATATTATTAACTACTATCCACCTCATTTATCCACAAAAGAAGAACTGTTAGCAGACTCTGACCCAGTCAATCAGTTGTCAACGAGGCTCTTAGCAAAATATTTGGTCACTGAAGGCTACTCAGAAGCAGCTCAGGCACTTTCGAAGGAAATAAGGAAAAGAGAAAGAAAGAACAAATAAGTCATAGCGTTACACCATAATCAAGAGCAAGAGAGGTATATCAATTAATCACTCAGTTGTCAACAAAGCTTCAAGCAAAACATGAGGGCACAATACACTACTGAAAACTTGCAAGCAGCTTAGTCTTTTAGAGTGAAAAAGAAAAGAAAACAGAGAGCTCATACCAATTACTATCATAACCAGCTTAGTCTCTATTACTCTATTTTTTGAAATCAGAACAGTTATAGTTTAGTTTAACATTAGACATGACTCATGAGACTGTTCAGCGTTTACATTTTACTCACCAAATTAGCTCCAGCATGCCCTTGCATCACTCGCTTCCAGTGGTCCCGCGAATCAAGACCTTCATCTTGAGGTTCAGAACCAATAGCAGTAGGGTAAAACAATATCTCTGCACCTTGAAGAACCATGGCTCTGGCTGCCTCTGGAAACCACTGATCCCAGCATATTGCTGATAAAATTGCATTAGAATTATATAAGCTGCTACTTTTATACACAAGAAACATAAATTTATCTCCTTAATTGAAGCAACAGAAAGCAAGTGCATGTATCCCTTCAAAGAGACGAGTCCCAAGAAAGAAATGCATCTCCCTTTTGGAATTGATTCAACCAGAAGTTAATCAAAAGTTGATATCTGAAGATTGACATAAATTTGTACCCACGCCAATCTTTGCAAACTTAGTTTGGAACACCTGTGCACAGACAACAAGGTATTTATGGTAAGTACAAAATCAAAACCAGATCTTTTAGATTAAAGATACGACCTATATTAAACACACACTTTCAATTTTTAGTGTCATGCAGTTACTTTACTTCAAATTTGACAGGGACTTATTTAATATCTGATATAGAAATAATAACTACATTAAATTATACAAGGTGGATTGGATGGAGGATAACTGGTTAAAATGTGAAATTTTATCAGTTTTCAATCTGGAAAGTACTGTGATTGACATTTAAAAGTAAAAGCGAACATCTAATATGAGACAGGAGTATCAACGGTTCACCTTGAAGCCAGTGTCACCAGGATTAAAGTAGAACTTTTCCTCATATCCTGGAAAAAACAATGAACTGTTCATTCTAATCGCCCTAAATGGACAACAAGAGATTTAAGGTAATCTACTAAGCAGTACCATACCCGGTCCATCTGGGATATGAGATTTTCTATATAATCCAAGATCAGTTCCATCTGCATCGATTATGGCTATTGAGTTGTAATGTGCATTATTTGCCTCCTCAAAAAAGCTGACAGGTATAACAACTCCCAATTCCTTTGCAAGCGCTTGCATCCTGCAAAATATGTACTTAAGCTTAACTAAAAAGAAAATGCTCCTTGGCCGCAAAGCAAAACCATGAGATTTTATTCAGGTCAAGGAATTAGCAATCTAAAGCACTGATGTAATCATGTGAGCAAGTGATGTACAAATTTAAGTTATGACTACATCATGTGTAAACCTCAAAACAGTGGGATGTTCCTTGTAAGGTTTGGCTCGCTGAAAGAAGTCCTCCCTCTGTGCTTGACAAAAATAATATCCCTCAAATAGTTCCTGCAAGAAACCCACAAGAATCACATAAAGCCTGTAGGTATTGGATCTTGATAGTAGATCACAGGGTCAACCACTATTGAATCGTGAAGGTATATCACATGCACATGAAAGCTCCTATGAAGTCAAAATTCCAAGGTCAAGTTGCAAAAGTTGAGAAATAGCTCGCATGGAAATCAATAGAAGCGTTGACAAGTGCTGATTTAAACAACCAAAGGCAGTAGACTGGTAGTTCTTTTATTTGGCGATTTGTTGGACAGGCTTTTCTGTTCTTGGTTTTTCCCTCACTTCCTAATTTTGTTCTTTGTGAGCTTGTAGCTATCCCAATGAATTATCGTGGAGATCTATTCAGAACTACACCCGTGTAATGTTTTCTATCTCTTTTGTGTCCAAAAGATTGATTTTGATTCAAACAACTAAAATGAAGATTGGAGAGTCACATAGCATCTTTTAAGATAAAATATTGTACTCGTGAATAAAAAATGATTTTCACAAGGTTATGCAACAACATAGACATCCAGATGACAATGTTTTCCAAGATTCTTAATGGCACAATAAGTCCATGGCAAATTTAAAGTGGCGAAAAGTTCACAATTGGTGAACTAATATGAAACCACTCTATCGAGCTCAAAAGTTTAGAATTTACACATCAACACGAGAAAATTCAAATGCCAAGGAGGTGAAAACCAATAGATTTTTTGATTAATAGAACACCTTAAGAAGAGCAAATAAACCTCATTGTGTAGCGTTCTTTTTTGTTAAAATAAGCTATCAAGCAGCTAAATGTCATACAAATGTTCAATTCAGCAATCAGGAATTCACATATAAATTCTGGATTTCCTCTAATTCAGGAATCAAACCTGAATAAGGATGATATTAGCACCCTTCTCATGAGCAGATCTCACCAGCCTGCAATGCAAGACATTCTTTCAGACACAATAGATGTTGTATGGGTAAGAGGGGGGAGACTTGAAATCATTGAAACATGTTAAAATGCGAAGGGAAGGCTGCCTACAAATATTTCCCTCCAAAATCTCGTAAATGTAAGGAGCCTTGGTGCAACAGATCATTCAAAACTACCGCAATAAGAGTAGTAGAGTACTGATTATCAATAGGAGACATAGAACAAAACAAAGAAAATAATATAAATCATTCTTTACTAATATGATAACTTCCCTATAAACCAGAACCCAAAAGCGTCTAGAAGCTCCCGCCATTGGCTTATATAAACAAAAAGGAGTCGATCTACACTCATTACTAGTTCCTCCATCCCACAATGACACAGTTAACATACGATCTTTCTCTCCCTTACTTTTCAGGAATATCATTACAAATTCGAGAGTAATTATGAAGACTCGAGAATAATACCCAATTAACCTGTAGAATATCTGAAACTACAAGACAAATTTCTCCTTATAGAGGATAGGAACTATTGTTACAGGAGAAACCTTATTTTTAAAATATGCTATAACAAGTAGATATGGCATCCAACAACCAGAGATTGTAGTATTTATGTGATGGAAGCATGACCACTGGCAACCTTTCAAAAAGGTTGCTCACAAGGGGCTGGCAAGAAGACACTATTATTTGTTGCTTGATGAATATCAGCAATTTCGAAACTCTGTAACAGTCCAAATATCTTCACTAAATCAGTTGAAACTAAGCATACTGCAGCAAGATTGTCATAGTAATAACAATACTGTATCACTTTATGTTCAGAAGCACAGTGTTGAGGTATCATAGCGTGTCATGTAGAATTGCATTATAATTCCACTTTGACATTAGTCGTCGAACTTGTGTTTATCAACATTATAATAATTATTTATTATTCTGCAGTTTTTACATCAGTTTTACTACATTTATAAGGCTCATGATACCTTTTGATATAATTATTGATTTTCCTCAGAAGTGAAATATATTCATATCACGTTTAAAACCAGAAGTATTTCTTTTTCTTTTCAAATTGAAACATACCTGTCAGTGTTATATTACTATTGAATTTTAGTAGAACACAAATGACCTTTTATGATAATATGTAACCCCCTGCCCCTCCCCCCTCTGAAGCTACTAATAATAGCATAGCAGACTTCAATCACAACTCTAAACCTTGGATTCCATGATTCTGCAGAATTTCATTAGTTCAACTGTTCAAGGCACCATCTTATTCACCATCCTAATTGTTCAATTCTCAAATTAATCTCCCGATACGCAAGATGAGCTACTGACATTCACAGTTCTACTTAAGTTGCACTTAAATTCGAAGTTCTACAACTTTTTGTGTTTTGCAACGCAAGTTCTACAGCTTAATCAAATTGAATAGAAACCTTCGCAAATTCACAAAAACACAAAATAAGATTTAAACCGACAGATATAAGCTACAAATCGTCAAAAATAAAACCTAGATTCTGAGTAGTGAGAATTGAGCAGAGTAAACAACATTAGTAAAAGAAGTGAACCTTTCAGCGGTGTCGACGTTAGTGGCGACATCGTCGGCACAAGCAAACTGGAGAGCTGAGAGCACCACTTTCCTCCCCTCCATTTCTCCAAATTTACTCCGTCCGGTGGCAGTGCAGCTGGAATCTCGAATTGTTCTTTTTGGCTGTTTTTATGTTACGATGCCCTGTGCCTACACATCTTCACTTCTTTCCCTTTGCATTTTTTTCATGACATCTTTTTAGAAAAGAGTAAGGGGCCGATTAAATAAACACCTCACCGACAAGTATTTACCAGTAAAATTCAATATTTATCCGACAAGTATTTATCAGTAAAATTCAATACTTATCCGGCAACTATTTATCAGTAAAATTCAATACTTACCCAGCAAGCATATATCAGTAAAATTCAACATTATTGCTTACTTATCGGACAAGATTTTATTCACTAAAATACATCGTATGCAACAATTTATCCTTGTAAGCGCTAAGCCGCTAACCATGGTAAGAGTCTTTATCCTCACTTACCGCATAAGACTCGAGATTTTTGCTTTCGTTCTTACCGGATAAAATTCTTAATATTTGTCATATTCATCCGGTAAAGTAAATTGACTTGGTAAACGTTTACCCAGGTAAACATTTGATAAATGACATCTAAAATACCAATTTTAGAAAGAAATAACAATATTGTTTTATTTTTAAATAATAAAATCAACAATAATATATATTTATAACAATAATAACATTACGAATGTTTTTATAGTTTATAATTTATTGTTATTTTCATCCGTAAACTAATTCATATTTGTAAGTCTAAAGCATGAAAACAGTAAAGAATTATAAACCACAGGAACCGAAACAACAATAGATTGTAAATTATAATAATGAAAATAGCAATGAATTACAAACCATATGGACGAAAATTGTAATTTCTAAATCACAAGAACAAAAATTGCATTTTTTTTAACAAACCACATGGAAGAATGAATGAAAAATAAATAAAATGAATGAAATACTGATTTATCAGTTTTTTCTATTCGTTATCTTTGAGCAAAATCAATGGGTAGAGTCTTGGAAGTAAAAGGATGATCGTTCCACATTTTTTTAGAGACCTTATTACACTTCTATCAAGACTTATAAATCAAGTAGATGAGTAATAAATAAAAATATACAAAAGTTCAAACAATATATTATATTAAGGACTTGAGATCATGTGAGACAATATTGTTTTTGTGAGACAACATTTTTACACTAGAAACTTCACAGCAAGCATTGTGAAGGTAACCTTCACAGTGTTTTTGTTGTGAAGGTTTGGCTTCTTCTTATCTTCACGACGTTTTGTTGTGAAGTTTTAAGTGTAAAAATGTTGTCTCACGAAAACAGTCTGATCTCACATTAACCCGACCCTTATATTAATAGTCCTGCAAATTACAACAACAAAAAACATCTTAAAATGACAAAATAACATATGAAATTCAATTAAATAAAATTATTCTTCTAACATTTTTTGTAATAAGATCTCCAGTTGATTTTTTATAATCAACTTGCTCTTAACAAAATCATATTCAGCTTATGAAAAATAAGCAGAAAAAAAAAGAAAGAAAAATAATAAAAAAAATATCAATAATTAAAAAGCTTATTGTTATGAACTAAGGGGTTGTTTACCAAACGTTTACTAGAGTAAGTGAACACCAAGTCACATTACCTTATCGGATGAATATAGTGAGGATCAAGAATATTACCCGGTAAGAGTGAAACAAGGACCAAGAGTCTTACATGTTAAGTGAGGGCGAACGACTCTTATCACAGTAAGCACTTACCGGATAAATTGTTGCATAAGATACCGTTTTGGTGGATTAAAATCTTATCTGGTAAGTAAATGATAGTGTTAAATTTTACGGATAAACGCTTACCAGTTAAGTGTTTGGTAAACGACCCCTAAAACATAGAATATAACTATCAAATATCAAGTCGTAAAATTAAAGAGCCTTTTGGCCTAGCAGCGGTCAAATATTTGGTTGTCCAAAAGGTCAAGGTTTCAAAACTCATCAAATGTGAGATGGGTATGTGAGTATATTTGTCGTATATAATTATTATATATTTCGGGGAAAAAAAACATCAGGTCGTAAATGAGTCGAGTTCGAGTTGAGCATGTTAGACCAAAGTCGAACACAACTCGACTTTCTAACTAGTTCTCTTGATGCAAGCTCGAGCCCAATTCCAAAGCCCAAATAACTCGAATATATTAATTGGAACCATGTTTGATGACAATAAGTTCAACTTTAACTCGATTTCAAAATATACGATAGTTTGTTTAACAAAAATGAATGCATTTTAATTTAAATTTTATTTTGTAGAATATACTTATTCAAATAATATATTTAAATATTTTTAATTTAAAAAAATGTCTGTTATAGTATACAATATTGACGTAACATAAGTGAAACTTGACGTGTTTTTTAAAATAAGTTTTTCAAAAGAGCATTTTTAAATTATAGACTATTTAATAGACGTATATTCGACTATAATTTAAGGGGCAAGTTGCATGAAAAATAACATATTTTAACTTGATTCCTATTTTGGGTAACGTACTTTTGAAACTTATATTTTGGAACATAAGATGTAAAGTTGTAAACATTTAAGTACCCGGGTAACCGATTGAAGCATCAAACGGTTAATCACTCGCCACATCAGCATGGTAACCGGTTAATGTTTCAACCGGTTACCTGGGTACTTAAATGTTTAAATTTTACATCTTAGATACCAAAATGAAAGCTTTGAAAGTATGTTACCCAAAATAGGAATTAAGTTAAAGTACGTTACTTTTTCATACAATCTGCCCTAATTTAAATGTGTATTTTAAAGTTATTTTCTCCAAAATAAAAATTAAATGAGAATATTTTATTTTTTAATGCAATTTATCCAAAAATACGTTTGAAAAAAAAAAAAAACTCTTGACTATATATACATTTGTTTGTTAGAGATTAAGGGGTTGTTTACCTAAATACTTACCCAATAAGCGCTTACTGTTAGGAGTCAACACTATAATTTATTTTATAAGTAAGATTGTAGTATATCAAAATGGTATCGTGTGCAACAATATATATGTAAGTGCTTACCCGAGTAAAAGTCGTCACCCTCACTTACCGGGTAAGACTCCTTATCCTTATCATCGCTCTTACCAGATAAGATTCTTGGGTCTTGTCATGTTCGTCCGGTGAGGAAAATTGTCCGGTAAGCACCTATCGGGTAAACGGCTCCTAAGATTTTTCTATACAACCTCTTTTAGGCTTTTGTATTAACTACAAAGTTATATCTTTATATTTGAATATCAAACAACAATCGTGGATTATATCTATAAAACTATCAAGTCGGGTCCTGGCCACGTGTAGCCTGGACGACTGCACAGGGCGTTAAAGCCCAGGGGAACATCAAGTTTTTATCTATTACTAGTTTTGGTAGTGATTTGGTAATTAGGCAACCCGGCTTTTAACTATAAACAACATGCCCAAGGCCTGATACTGATAGATGTTGAATGCGCCTAATCAAAATCTTGAGAAAGCATCTTGAACCAGTGAACGTTCAACATTCCAACAACTAAAGTCGATTTCTTTTGTTCTTTAAAGTTTGACCCTTTCGATTTTCAAGGAACGGTGTTCCATTTTCAGCCGATTAAGGGCATTAAGCAAGATTCAAGGCATCGAAGATGGAAATCCTGAATGGTCGAATTCTAACATTTAGAAGAATTTTTTTAGCATAAAGGCATTTTTTCCGTACGTTTCATCTTTTCATTTCAAAAATAAGTGGGGTTAATTTTTTTGCATTTTCGCACAGAGTATAAAGAATCTTAGGACCGCCCCTGATAACTATGTTATATTATAAATGGTTAGAGGTGTTAAGCAATAATCAATGAGAATCAAAATAAAAGAACTTGTTTAGTTTTTTATAATATAAGTAGAAGGGTATTTGCACAATGAAACGATATATATATTCATTTTAATGTATGATTTTTTTTTTTTGTCTCTGTTGATATAATACGGATTATGTGGTTTTGAGAAATATAATGTTTTTACTTGTGAATAAAAATACATTTGAAGATATCATAAAATTTTGAAAAAATATATCGATATTAATATTAAATTAACTATTTAAAAGTTCTCGTTTTTTTGTACAATTTTATTTAATTCAATTTTTTTTATTATAATTTAATTTATGTCAAATGGTGAAGTAACTTATTTTTGGTTACCAAGATAATTTTTATAAAGATAATGATTTTGTTAGAATTCAATGATTATTCTAATTATATTTTAGATTTTATATATTTAAAATAAGATATTTTTCTTGTATTTGATTATGTTTATCTGCAATTAGTYATACGAATTCAAAAATAAAGCTTTAATAAGTTGTACTTACGCACAATTTACTTGTAATCTTAAATTTTAAGTAATAACGTAAAATCCGCTAAGTATCTTTTGTTGAAGATCGGTTAATGCATTAATAAACAGTACTTCATGCATAAAAAATGATTTTTAAAAGTTTTTGTCAAATGCTTTATAATATAGTATAGATAGGCTCATTTCTCCATAAGCCCAAAATTTTATTCCTGGTTAAATCGGAGGGAATGAGAACTCATTCCCATTTTCATTCATCAACATTAGCCAACATAGACCCTAAATTGTCCTAAATACAATTAATCTCTTAATAAACAAAGGGAAAATTGCACAAAAATGGAACCAACTTTTACCCAATTCTTATTTTGGGGAACCAACTTTCAAAATCGTCATTTTGGGGAACCAACTTACACCTGATTCCTAATTTGTGAAACCAACTTTCAAAATCGTCATTTTGGAGAACCAACTTGCACCTGATTCCTATTTTGGGGAACCAACTTGAAAAATAATTATAGAAAAATAACTAAAATTCGTTTTTTTTCCAAAAATTAATGCAATAAAATCTATTTTTCATTTCAAAACTCATTTTTTAATTCAGATATCAAATTGAACATTTAAAAAAAATGCAAATTACCACAATAAAAATTATTTTTTACTAATGCAAAAAAAATAAATATAATAGAAAAAAATTTGTCGATGCAATTTGTTAGATATAAAATCTTGAATGTGATATTTAATATTTATTTTTTTATTGCATCAATTAATTTTTTTCTATTAAATTGATTTTTGTTGCATTAGTAAAAAAAAAAATTTATTGTGGTAATTTGGATTTTTTTTAAATGTTCAATTTGATATCTGAATTAAAAAACGAGATTTGAAATGAAAAATAGATTTTATTGAATTAATTTTTGGAAAAAAAATGAATTTTAGTTACTTTTCTATAATTATTTTGCAAGTTGGCTCCCCAAAATAGGAATCAGGTGCAAGTTGGTTTCCCAAAATGACGATTTTGAAAGTTGGTTCCCCAAAATAGAAATCAGGTGCAAGTTGGTTCCTCAAAATTACGATTTTGAAAGTTGGTTCCCCAAAATAGGAATTAGGTGAAAGTTAGTTTTCATTTTAATGCAATTTTCCCATAAACAAACTATGTAAAAACAAGTTTTTTTTTTTTAATTTGATACCCATATTAATACATATTTTTTTCAACATTCATACTAACTTTCAAATCTCAATCATGAGTATATTCATATAAACTATATTATACAGAATTTACAAGTTATTATTATATACATTTGAATTTTATAAAGATAACTCATAACCAATTGATATTGTTTAAATACAGTATAAACATTGAATCCTATTAATACAACAAAATATTATATGAAGTCAATCCAAGTCTGTATAAATATTATTATTAGATGGATTAATTAATTAGCAGTTTGTTATAGATTTTGGTGGCGTCTGTTTTTTAAAAGGTATTAAAATCTGAAGTCTGATTTCACTTTTGATTTATAAGAGGTGGTCCTGAAGTCTGAAATATGAATAAGTAAGATTGTTTGTTTTTACGTCTGCAATCTAAATCAGTCAAACTAGTGCAAAAATATAAAAGATAAATAATTTAATACAAAAGTATAAAAGATAAATAGTTTTTGCTAGCAAACATTTTCCAGCACCCAAAACATGAACCATTTGATAGAGAACGGATTAGGATTAAGACGTATTAAGGGATACATTTACAACTTAAAATTTCAGAAGACATTTAGAGTTTTTAAGCTCTAATTTTAGAAATAAAACAAACGCTCTTAATACCCAAACGTCTGAACGAATCAAAATTCAGAGGTATTAAGAGATAATTTTAAAAAAAGAAGCAGACCCTTAGTTATAAGTTATTTTCCCTTGTTATGATCCTGTATAAATAGGATGTCCTGGTCTCGTTCTGTAGTTATCGGAAGTAAAAAGTACATTCACTCCTCCAAACACTATATATGCATACAAGACTTTTATATCAACCACCTAGTAAACAATTGTACGTTTGTTTGACTTTCACGTGATATTCTTGGAATAAAGCAGTGTAGAGCTACTCGGAAGCTCTTGGTTACAAACCTTTTTCGCACAAACCAATAAGCTAGACCTCACGAACTAAAGGTTATGATTCTACTTTTGGAAATAAAATAGAAAATCTAATAATTCATCCCAGTAGATGAATTCGAGCCTTTTTCCAATGACTTTCCAGTCACAAGAAGCAACTTTATTCGATGCATTACAAAAGTCAGTGTTAAAAAGTTGTAGTTCTTGAATGATCTCATAACAAAAAGCAACAAGTACAAGACAGCTTGAAACATAAGGAATATAAAAAAACTACAGGTATAAAAAAGTTTTATTAATTATGTGTACCTCATATGTACGGGGACTAGTCAAACGAGAACAATGACTAAAGAAAACAACAACCAAATCATGTGTAATTCATATATGATTTTACACTAAAGATCAATGCAAGCGTATGCGAACGATGTGAGCAAAGTCACATGAATCACATGTGATTCAACCATTTTCTTATATCTTTTATTTTGTTACTGTTCTTGTATGAACCTAACTCTCCATCTCCCCCTATATATACATAACTTCAGGAACAATGTCTCTATGGAATCCAAAGACCAATTTAGGAGTTGATTATTAGCGAGAAAGCTTATTGAGCTTTTGATAGAGAGGGGCGAGGCCCCTCTTATCAAGACAAAAACACTAAACGCTAAAAACAAGCCAAATACGCGCTCGGGTAGGGACGAACCACATCCTATTTTTTCGACATTAGTTGTTGTACCCACAAATTCAGAGTTTCAAAAGCCTACTTAGGTTTGCATACTTTAGAGTTAGGCTCCCTTATGAGTCATGCCATGGGCAGCACATAATTTAGGACCTTATGAGCAAAGATGCTTTGTCCATACACCAATAGGCATCTTACATTCTATTTTAACTACCTATCTATTAATTCTCATTGACAAGTCTTTTTTTAAATCCATGACTTTTTAACAGATTTTTAGATATTATTTTGTATGAAAGTTGCATTCTTCTGTTACAGTGAGTCAGTGACATTCTCAACCATATCAAGAGGTCATAGATTTAAAAAAAAAACTTGATGGACAGTCAATTAAGCAAAGGACCCTAATTTCCTCTTACACACACAAGCTATGTTTAGAAAATTCGTTGATAAGCTAATTGTTAGCTGAAAGTCTAATCGTTGGATTATAAACTGAATGACAATGTAAAATGACCTAAAAGTACATGCAAAAAAATTAATTTGAAAAACGATATGACAATAGGTTTTATGTTCTAATTTGTTAAGTTGATAATGATATGACAATAGAAAATATAAAGAGTAGGTTTTTATTTAGTCAGTCCATTGGAGATGGTATACAGTAGAGATAATGCTATATGCACCTCTATATGTCAAAATCAAGTCAAGTCATGTATTGAGAATGTAAAAAAGTAAGTTCTAATGTTGATGTGTGAGGAGGAAATTTGCAGATAGATGTGCATATATCAATATACAGAGGTGCATTTAGCCCACTCTTACAGTACAGCAAGGGGTACATTTAGCCCACCCCTTACATCCATCTATATTGCTACATATGCTCATACCTACCAATTTTCTCCTCACACAAATCAATATCAATACCTAGTTTTACATTTCTAAAGCATGATTTGACATGATTCTAACACAACTGACACAAAAAAAAGGATGTATGTAACATCACCATCAGGTAAAGTCTAAAAGGGTGCACTAGAAGCAACCCCATAAAAGCAATTGAGGACCCCAAAACATGATGGGGTTAAAATTTGACAGCAACCCATCATAATTCTGGATGGTGTCAACTCATTGATTTATAAATCTTGCTTAAGATCCAAAACATGATTGATTGCACCCTAAATAAATATAGTACAACACAATAATTATCACACATATAAAAATCAAACAGCCCAATCAATTACCAATAAAATAAAACCAAACAGATAAGATAGAATAATAATGAAAATCCCAAAACCAAATTACTTCATTAATCATATTGAACCAGAGACTATGTATACAGAACTAGAATCCAAATTTTCAAACCAAAAATTCATCTTTAGAAATTACTAGAATTTATAGAATATAAACAAGAACAAGAATATGATGATGATATGAAAAAGAAACCTATAAATTGTTTCAAGAATACTTCTTTTCTACCTAGTATTTGTATCTGTGTATAAATTTTATGATGAATTTCTTATAAACTATTAAAGAAACAGTAAATATGTATTGGGGTATAAGCATGGTCTAACAATGTGTACTATGAAGATGAGAGGTTGCTGCTGGTGTGAAAACTATGGTGTGGTTTCCGGTGATCCTGAAAGCTGGTCTTCAATGTGAATCCTTAGTTATCTGACCTGTGACACAAGGTCATTAGATTAATCGACACGAAAAGTAAGAGTTTCTATTGACATTTTTAATCCACAATTAATACAAGGGTTAGTGGAATATGACCCATCTAGTTTGGCCCCCTTAAAAAGTGTATACCGAATAGACCTCATTAACATTGCAATTTGCAAACCTAATCTAGTGGGCCCAAGGTAGATGCTGGATCATATTAAGACCAACAGCAGTCTCATCCAACTCCATGTCTGATTAATGTAGCATTTAGAATTATAAGGGCCTCACGAATCTCATTTTCTAGCTTCAGGGATTTACAAATAGTATAAGAGCCACTACGAAGTCTTGACGAGGATGTCAAGTGAGGGAGTTTGCAACAACCCGTCTCACATGGATAGAAATTAGATTTGTGAGCTCCATATAAGCTCAAAATTGTGGGCTACCAATAACTTTCACCATGATGTTTAAGTTAGTTCAGAGGTTATCAGATTAGCATGCTACTTTGGGTTTCGGAGCGTTAAAGTTTAGATCAATTAGATGTTAATTTGCTGTGGTTCATCATATTTTAGACCACCAGCCATGCTAATTTTGACTTGTATAGCTGGTTTTACCGCTCAGGAAGATGACTTACTGATTTGCTTTTGGCTGGGCCGTGGGATTGGCGTTGGTGGTGGGGTGGTGGGGTGTGGGGGGGAATCATATCAACCAAGTCTAAATTGACACAGTTGATATGAAAAAGTTGTCAACTTATATTAGATTACCTGTCAACCTTATCCTCTTTAGGAGAAGCTGACACTAAGAACACTTGTAAAGTTAGAAACGTTATCTTTCATGTTGAAATCCACTTTCAAGGATCATTATGGATGCAACTAGCAATCAATCAGATGTTATCTGGTGCCTTAAACTTATAATCTTTCAAAGATCTCAAAAAAATTCCCATCAAAAATATCATCAAGTGTCGTTCAACTTGTAAGAAAAAACAAGCCAAAATGTTATCAAGTTGGATTATTTAACATTTTGATGTGATACCCAACTTGGACTAAAAGATAGCATACTATTAGTCTATTACTATATAATAACCTTGAATTAGAAAAGAAAAAGAGAAAAGAGACATCAAGATATGGCTCACCAAATGCTGAAGCAGCAAAATACCTTTCTCATATTATATATATATATATATATATGTGTGTGTGTGTGTGTGTGTATTAAAAGTGACAGTGAGGATACAGTGTGGACATGAAAAGCGTACACCCAAAGGCAACAACGGTGAGCTTTCAATTTTTAATTGCTGAAAATGGATTAGAGAAGAGTGACTTTTTTGTATTTGATTGAACAGAATTTGGACTTTTGTATACTATAAGATAAGAGGAATTTTGTTTGCAGTAAGATTCTATATTCCATGATTGTTGGTGGAGATAAGATGGGATGGAGACTAGTGTCCTTTGGCCATACCTTCAATGTTTGATAATGTAGTATTCACATATGAAGATAGACCCAACCCTGTTGCTGTATTCACACACTTGACATATTTACCATGCTTATTTTTCCAAACATATTATATATACAAGGTGGACCCACATACGTTCGGGTGTGCTATATGTCATTGTTTGTAAGAATATGACTTTATGCAGTAATTCTTGAATAATTCTTTGATAGAACCCATATGTTGAACATAAAAAGTTAATTATATAACTTCTAATAGACACTTTGGAAATCCTGAGCCCACAAAATTTGGGTGGTTGATGGGATCCTACCAATATTGTCCTATATAGATTGATGTGTTGGCTTTTGTTATTGGATGAATGTAAGCATATTTTGTCAAATTATAATCTTATGATTCCTTGAATATGTTTCTTATTATGATCATTATGAACTCAACTAGTCGGTAGGTTATCATGGGTAGGTGCAAAATAAGTATGACAGGATTAAGGTTCAAAATTTTACCTCTAAGGACCATCTTCTTCAGGGACTTTGAGCTCCTTATGTAAAAATGTCACCAAAATTTAAGTTAACTATTCATCTGTCTTTAGCAAAGAGTAGGGATCCAAGAAGCAAAATGAGAAAGCTGAAGATAGACAAGGCCTGCAAATACATAATTCATGACACAAATTCAGCTAAAACCAATTTAAAAACTTGAAATTTTGCTATATTTCATTAACATATACGAACTGTAGTTAATATAACATGAAGGCATATGTGTTCTTACGTTTTTCTTTGAAGATGAATAGTCCATTCTAGGAAGAACATAACTTTGTACACCAAGGCTATAGACCAGAGTACCATCAGGATAATACAATCCAAAGTTCCTTTCTGATGTTGGACCGGACTTCTGATTCTCATTGAAAAGAGCAAAAAGATAGATGTCAATAGGCTGTGAAGGGTGTGCTGGGGTACCTTGCTCTTGTTGCATCCTCTGCATCAAATTTCGATTATATATTCCAGCATTCTGTACTGTTGCCCCAGGCTCATCCTCATCCCCCTTAGAAGGCCAGCCAGTCTCGGAGATTTTTACTTCTACATCAGTATGACCCAATGCTTTTATAGCTGAATAAACAGCATCAATTTGTGCATACAACATGTTATCATACTTTAGATTCGTATTGGGATCTACTGCCCCAGAATTTGGTTCAAAAAGCACGTATTCCAGTTGGACGTTATTTGGGTCACTCTTATATGCAAAATAGGGGTAAGCGTTAATGAAAAAGGGGGAGTCAACCTGCGCATGAAAGTTAAGAATGGGTTGTATGTATTGAACCATATCTTCTTTAAAAGCCCCTCGAGAAGGTGGGAAAGAAGTTGCTAAGATTTGAAGGGAATGAGCCGTGGTCACATAAACTTGCTTGCTTAGTCCAAGATCAACTAAAGCTCCATAGATAGCTTTCATAGCCGGGAGGAGGTATGTTGCTGCTAATTGATCTTGTCCTCCTAAGACTTCGTTTCCCACAGTAATGCATGTGATCTTAGTTTGCGAAATATAAGGTTGTACGTTTTGTTGAACCCATGTTTGAGCTTGTTGAGGATCTCTCACTTTCTGAAGTAAATCATTCCCTACAGCAATGATGAATTCAACATTGGTTCCTGCAAATGCTCCTAACACTGTGGGATCGGCATCATAAACCTTTACTCTACTAATGTTCAAAGATTTGAGGAGGACCGATACATGAGATGGAGATGGGAGATTGTTGGCTATCCGTCCGTAGTTGACCCCAACTCCAATGCTGAAGATGCCAACAAATGATTCTGAAAAAACATATAATTCAATAAAATCCGAATTAATATAAATAATTCAAACTCAAGATTGTGAAAATATAAATCCGCGAAATGGCAAAAGTTGTCATTTAGAAAAAAACTCAAATGCAGAAGCAGAATGAAAATTAATCTCACACTTAACAACCCTTTGTAAATGCCATTTAGGGATTAAAAAAAATCCCTATTTCTCTAATCTGGATTCATTTACAATTCATAACCAACAACGTAAATCCCATTCAGAAATCTGAAACTATTACACTAACCTAGTTTGACATCCAGTCTATTTAATGATGATCCAGCATCAATGTATTCAAACAGAATTGTTTGCCAATATCATGCACTAAGAAGAAGAAATCTAACAATCAAACAAATGCAAATATCTAACTACGGCACGTATCAAGAAATCGTAATCAATTACACGGTGAACAGTGAGAAAATCACAAAGAAATCACCAGAAAACTAATAAATTCCACATTTGATCAAAAGCCGATCACAAACCCCCAAATATTTAGAAGTTACATTGAAAAAAATAGAAACTATAACGAAAGGAAAAAAAAAAGTTATCTATAAAGTGAGGAGCACATTTTTACACATATTTTTTCAGTGATGAATGATGATCCAGCACCAATGTATTCAAACAAAATTTATACTTGAATGCCAACATTATACACTAAAATTCAAGAAAAGTATTCACATCACAAGACCAGATAGCAAAACATATTCCACATTTAATCGAAATCCGATAACAAACACTCCCGAATTTCAAATTTTATTGAAATTCAGTAACGAGTAAAGGAGGATTTAAAGAGTTACCTGATATAGTGAGCAGCAAAAGAAGTGTACGGAAGATAGCGGCCATTGAAATTGAAACCGTGAGATATTTGCCGCTTCTCCGCCGTGCTCCTCCGCCGGGAAACCCTGTTTGAGTCCTAAAATGAAAGCCGAAACAGGGGTTTGAAGATGAATGTTTGCATGTGTGTTTATTAAAAGGATGATGAGGTCAGTAAAAACGATGCCTTTGGCTTTTTAATAAACTAGTAATCAGGTGAGAACAAACCGCGTGAATTATTTTACAATCAACCTATGAAAAAATGACACGTGTCTTAGACCGTCTTTTATCAAAGCTGCCGCCTGCTAATACAGTCTTCCCTAGGTATACCGTATACCAACTTAAATATTTCCGAAAATACCCCTTTTCAAAAACATTTTGATTTTCTCTTTGTATTTAAAAATAAATAAAAGTTGAAATTTATATGATTTATATAAAAATGAAAACATGTTGATTAATTAAATAAAAAAGATATGATGGTTTGTATTTGTAATTATTCAAACTCTAACAATCAATCTGATGATAATGTGGGCTAGTGATGGCCAAATAGGTCTGGCTCGACCCGGGACCGGCAAATGATCGATTATGGGACCGAAAATCGGGATCGGTTTGGATTTTTGATAGTTTCGTGGGATTAGGACCGGCTATGGACCGGTCCGACCTGGTCCGAAAATTCAAATAATTTTATAAATAAATATATTTTTAAATAATTTTATAATGTATTTTTAAATAATGTTATAATGTATTTTTATAAGACAATATAATTTTAATTATATTAAAACATATTTTTAAAGTGTATTCGAGTGACCCAGTTGTAAATTTTATAATGTATTAAAAATATAATTTTTAATGTCGGGACCGGGACCGACGCCCGTAACCGGTTATGTAGTACCTTGACCGTCCCTACCATTTTCGACCGGGACCGGTTATGGCCGGTTATGAGAAAGTTTGGGACCGAGACCGGTTATGGCCGGTTATGAAGTACCTTGACCGATCATACCATTTACATGAATCTATACTATATTATAAAGCATTTGACAAAAACTCTTAAAAACCATTTTTTATGCAAGAAGTACTGTATATTGATACATATTACTTAAAATTCAAGATTATAAGTAAATTATGCATAAGTACAACTTATTAAAGCTTCATGTTTGAATTCGTGTAACTAACTGTGGATAAACATAATTAAATAGAGGATGAACATCTCATTTTAAAATATAAAAAATCTAAAATATAATTAAGATAATTATCAAAATCTAACAAAATACTTAATTATTATATTTATAAGAAAATTATATTATTAAACCAAATATAAATTACTTCGTCATTAAACCTAAATTAAATTATAATAAAAAAAATTGAATTAAAAAATTACACACAAATAGGAATTTTAAATAGGTAATTTGATAATAGTATCGATATATTTTTGTCAAAATTTTATGATATTTTAAATTTATATTTTATTCAAAAATAAAAACATCATCGTTTTTTCAAAATCACATAAGACCATATTATAACATCGACTGAGACAAAGAATAAAATAAAATATTAAAATCAAGATGTATCTCGCTGTATTGCACGAATACCATTCTAGTATTCAAAAAATATATCTACTTTGATCTCATCTTGATACCTAAATTTATAACATCATATTTGACATAATAAAAAATAAATTTGTGAGTGAAATGAAAATCTTGAAATAAATAAAGTAATTTGTATAATTATAAGAATGATCCACTAATAATATCCAATCATGGTTTTAATATTTAAATGAGAATGAATTTAATTAGTTGGCATTTGGTGACATAGACAATAATTACAAAAATAATTATTAATTATTTTTTTAAAATTTAAAAAAAAAATGTATTATAAAAAAGATAAAAAATAAATAATGTGTGCAAGTATTTCTTAAGTTTTAAGTATTAGTGTGATATAAACATGATGGAATCAAAAATCATGAATCTGATCATTCAATATAAAACTTTTTAACATTATCTGAATTTTCTCAAAGGTGACCGTTCTTTGAAGCTTCTTGTACTATTAATTATTTAAAGTTTCGTAAAAAGAAATCTTCAATCCGAAGTTATCATGATCACTTTAAATTCTTTTAAGAATTGTGTGGATATTTATGGACATTCAGTTAAAATAGTTATTATTTTATATATAGGGACAGATTTTTTTGTTATTTCAATTTTTAGTGTTAACCTAATGAACCAATAGGATTCAGTGTTTGTGGTAGGTTTCAATAAGATACTGATTAAAAGATGGAGGACATAAGGGTAAATTATACATATACGTAAGTTACATTTTGTATTAATTAATGAGTGGTTGCTACTTAATAGTTTGCTTGATTGTTGGGATTATGATTGATTATTCAAATTACGCATGTATTATCATTAAATGAAATTAATCTTGATCAAATTATTAATCCGAGTGAACAAATCACAAGCAAACATTTTTTTAAATGTGAATATTAATATATACAATGGGTAAATTGTTAATCCGAGTGAAAAAATCACAAGTAAATATTTTTGAAGTGTATTATTAATTTCGTTTCTGGTGATATGAACGATATGGAGGAAAATATCGTGAAATCACTGGTAAACATATTTCTGTAGGTATACAATGTTCATTATATGTTAATATATGAAAAAATGGAACATCCAAGTGAACTTTTGTGAATATATATATATATATATATATATATATATATATATATATTTACACAAGTTTTTCATGCAAATGGGGATCCTTACATAAAGATTTTTTTTTAATTTAAAAATCGAGTTTATGCAGTTGTCTTATGCGTTTACATAAACTCGATAAACTCGGACTAAAATGAAGTTTTGACTCTAAAATTGGATAAAAAGTGAATTTGGTTAGAAAGATGGTTATTTTGATCAATTTTCCGAATATTTAAGGTCATGGATCAACTTGTATGTTGGATTATGGACTTAAATTTTTACTGAATTTATTTAAGAAAACTAGAAGGGTACTCACGCGATGCAACGAGATAAATCTCGATTCTAATGTTTTAGTTTTTTATTATTTGTCTCTATCGATATAATACGATTTTATATAGTTTTGAGAAGGGCAAATTGCATGAAAAAGTAACGTACTTTAACTTGATTCCTATTTTGGGTAACGTACTTTCAAAACTTTCATTTTGGTACCTATTGATAGAGCAAATTGCATGAAAAAGTAACGTACTTTAACTTGATTCCTATTTTGGGTAACGTACTTTCAAAACTTTCATTTTGGTACCTAAGATGTAAAGTTTTAAACATTTAAGTATCCGGATAACTGGTTGAAATATTAACCGAGTATCATGTTGATGTGCCGAGTGATGTGGTATCCAACTCGGTATTATTTGCTGACGTGGTCAGTGACGTGGATTTTTTTTAATCTAAAAGTAGTATTTTTTTTAATCTAAAATTAGTCTTCAACTGGTTACCCGGGTACTTAAATGTTTAAAACTTTACATGTTAGGTACCAAAATAGAAGTTTTGAAAGCACGTTACCCAAAATATGAATCAAGTTAAAGTACGTTACTTTTTCATACAATTTGCCTTTTTGAGAAAACAATAATGTTTTTATTTTTGAATGGAATATAATTTTGAAGATAGCATAAAGATTTGAAAATAATAATTCGATATTAGTATCAAATTAACTATTTAATAGTTCTCGTTTTTTGATGTAAATTTTTTAATTCAATTTTTTATTATAATTTAATTTAGATTTAATAACAAAATAAGTTATTTTTGGTTTAACAATATAATTTTTTATAAAGATAATAATTAAACATTTTATTAGAACTCAATAACCATCTTAATTACATTTGAGATTTTATATATTTAAAATGAATGTTTATCATGTCTTTGACACGAATTTAAAAATAGAGCATTAATAAGTTATACTTACGCAAAATTACTTGTAATCTTGAATTTTAATTAACATGCATAACCGGTCCCGGTTCCGATCAAGACAAAAACGTTCCATAACCGGTCCCGGTTCTGGTGAAATCCTCCATAACCGGTCAAGCTTACCAGTAACCGGTTAAGCCGTCCGGTCCCGGTTCTGGTCCCATAACCGGTTACGGCCGGTCCTTTGCAAAAAAAAAATTCTTTTAATTTTTGGTAATTAATAAATTTATACACACACACACACACACACACACACACACATATATATATATATATATATATATAA